CTCCAAACATGCCTCCCTCCGGTGTTTTGGTAAAACAGTACCAAGCGCATGATGGTAGACACGGAGGGGCGGGGCCTGTGTCCTTCAATGAACGGCAAGAAATGGTTTTTATGGTAAGTAGAGAAATGATATTTTCTGTAGCGTTGGAAGATCTCTGGAGGAGTCATGTCCCGGCTGAGGTGAAGGGCCCAAAACTGCCTCAGGAAGGAAGGTGACCAGGAAGCATGAAGACGGCTTTCTGGCTCTCCCCCCAAAACCCTTCTTCCCCTTCCCTCCCCCCCAGACCTTTCCCTCCCCAGACCCTTCTCCCCCTCCCAGTGACCCCTCAGGTGTACAGCGGTCCGTTAAGGACTCAGCATCAGAGTCTAGAGGAAGGCTCGGAGGCCACAATGACTCCGCTGGGGGAGGGGTGTAAGCATGTTTATGACCTCTGCTGGCCATCAAAGTCACCAATCATGGTTGCAATTTGGCCTATAAAGTTCTCCATCGCCGCGGTGAAACTCTCCCGGCCTAGTACCGACGGGGATCATGTCTCCCGGCACAGTACCGACGGGGGTCATGTCTCCCGGCACAGTACCGATGGGGGTCATGTCTCCCGGCACAGTACCGATGGGGGTCATGTCTCCCGGCACAGTACCGATGGGGGCCATGTCTCCCGGCACAGGACCGATGGGGGTCATGTCTCCCGGCACAGTACCGATGGGGGTCATGTCTCCCGGCACAGTACCGATGGGGGTCATGTCTCCCGGCACAGTACCGATGGGGGTCATGTCTCCCGGCACAGTACCGATGGGGGTCATGTCTCCCGGCACAGTACCGATGGGGGTCATGTCTCCCGGCACAGTACCGATGGGGGTCATGTCTCCCGGCACAGTACCGATGGGGGTCATGTCTCCCGGCACAGTACCGATGGGGGTCATGTCTCCCGGCACAGTACCGATGGGGGTCATGTCTCCCGGCACAGTACCGATGGGGGTCATGTCTCCCGGCACAGTACCGATGGGGGTCATGTCTCCCGGCACAGTACCGATGGGGGTCATGTCTCCCGGCACAGTACCGATGGGGGTCATGTCTCCCGGCACAGTACCGATGGGGGTCATGTCTCCCGGCACAGTACCGATGGGGGTCATGTCTCCCGGCACAGTACCGATGGGGGTCATGTCTCCCGGCACAGTACCGATGGGGGTCATGTCTCCCGGCACAGTACCGATGGGGGTCATGTCTCCCGGCACAGTACCGATGGGGGTCATGTCTCCCGGCACAGTACCGATGGGGGTCATGTCTCCCGGCACAGTACCGATGGGGGTCATGTCTCCCGGCACAGTACCGATGGGGGTCATGTCTCCCGGCACAGTACCGATGGGGGTCATGTCTCCCGGCACAGTACCGATGGGGGTCATGTCTCCCGGCACAGTACCGATGGGGGTCATGTCTCCCGGCACAGTACCGATGGGGGTCATGTCTCCCGGCACAGTACCGATGGGGGTCATGTCTCCCGGCACAGTACCGATGGGGGTCATGTCTCCCGGCACAGTACCGATGGGGGAGTTCCGATGGCGGCCATGTCTCCCGGCATAGCGCCGATGGGGGCCATGTCTCCCGGCATAGCGCCGATGGCGGCCATGTCTCCCGGCATAGTGCCGATGGGGGCCATGCCATGTCTCCCGGCATAGCGCCGATGGCGGCCATGTCTCCCGGCATAGTGCCGATGGCGGCTATGTCCTGGAGGACCGAGCATGGCATAGACTCAAGCGGAGGGTACAATTCCAGGCTGGCAATCATGAGCTGGAGACACCCAGCAGAGTGGGACTGTTGCCCTTATTTCTAGGGTCAGCCAAGGGGTACCATGGATCCTCATGAACCCACTGCCGGTAGGAGAGGTTCAGGCGGCCGGTGGTGACCGGGTCACTGGGGGCGGACTGAGGAGAGAGTCACATGATGCTGGCGGTCTAGCAGGCGACTATTCTATGCTGAATGGCGGGAACAAGAGCGGAGCGCGCACCCCACCCAGCAGATGGCGCCAACACTCAGAACCTCCGTATGCTATGCCACTAACACGGCAAAACTCCGGTGTGGAAGGTGCCACAAGGCAGAGCTCAGTGCCCGGAGGTCACATGACCGGGGTCTGGGTATGGCCGCCAAAGCTAGCGCCGGGGATACGCCGATCCAGACGGCGCTGTACGGAGACCAGCTCGGCAGCTTGCAAGAAGAAAAAAGGCAGCAGAGAAACGACGTCCAAACCTGAGGCATCCTGGGAGTAGGAGGAGCTATACCGGGCTGGCCACAGTGTTTATGTTTTCCGAATTCTCCTGTAGAGGGCAGCATAACCCGACAGTCCCTGAATTCCTGTGTCCCTCAATGAACAATAATATAATAAACTCAGAGATGGGATGATTGGTGGGGGGGGGGGACAAGGTACCCCAAAAAGGGCCCCCTCCCTGCTCTGATTAGGGGTTCCTATAATACAACACGGCTGAGACATTGAAGGAGTCCACACACAAAGCACACGGGAGGGTCGCGGGGTCGCAGGAACCATTTCATTCATTTATTAACGAGAAATAAAACAAAACATACACAGGCGTGACGCGGGAGCGAGGGTCAGAGTCTGCCGTCAGAGCTCCTCATCCGGCTCCGGGCTTCCATTGACTTATAGCCACAGCTGAGGGAGAGGAGCCGTGTGACTGGGGGGGGGG